TTGTTGGATGTAATAATGAACATAGCAGTCGTCATTTACTCCCGACATCTGAGCCGCTGAAGACACAGTGGATTACATTTGTTTCTGAAGGAATGCACCCCCGATCTACCTAAATTCGTCTATTTTCACGCGAATCATTCGTGATCCAGCATCACCTCCAGAAGTGAGTGTAAGGTTTGTTAATGAATCTTTGCAAATCGCCTTTCCTAATAACGTGCTAGTTAGCAAGTTTCACGATGAATGCGGCTAAAGTTTACCGTCTCTCAGAGAGCGGCTCGGAAGAGAGGGGCGGGGTCAGCAGAGCTCATTTGCATTTAAAGCGGCATGCAAGAAACAGCTTGTTCTGAAAAGAGCTGTTTTTGACGGGGTAAAAACTGTTGCTGTTTTACACTACCATTGAGAAATTTTAACCAAACTATGTTACAGACTTTTCATTAAGACCCTAAAGAATCATATCAACTTGTGGAAAATTGGCATCCTTTGACCCCTTTAAATCATTAATAATTCATCAATGCACTCACTGCACTCTTCCAGCTAATTAGAGGCTTAACTCAATAAATATTTTGTACAGTGTGGATATTTTTTGTACTTATTAATTATTATTATTATTATTATTATTATTATTATAAAACAAAAGTTTTAAACAGGTCACAGAGTTGCAAAATAGCAAACCTTGTATGACATGAATGAAGTAAAAGAAAACAAACTTGGATTTTTAAGAGTTTTAGGCCCTATTTTGTACTGCTAAAGCTCTTTCATAATATTGTTTTACCTCTGTTTCAGGTTAATAACAATGGGCATTTGACATTTGATGGGCCTCTTTCACAGTCGAGACCCGGTTATTTACAGACACAAATCAACAGAGAAATTATTGCTCCACTTTGGACAGACATGGACAACACTGTCGGTGGAACAATCTCCTATCGTCAGGTCACCAGTGGTGGACTCTTACTAGCAGCCACAAACAACATAAACCAGTATTTTCCTAATCTGAACTTCACTGCATCATGGCTGTTCATTGCCACTTGGGATAAAGTACCATACTTTGCCAGCTCACAGTCGGTAAGCTATCTGTCACTCACATCAGGTAGTTTCTGAAAGACTTTTGGAATTTTTGTCTTCCAAGTATTATTAAAGTAATTTCATGTGGTATCTTAACATGCTTAATTTTAACATCTTTTGGTGCTATAAACAAGAAGTTGGTCTTTAGTGCTGGGGAAAGTGACTTTTACATGTAATGTATTACAATATTGATTACTTGAGTCTGTACAGTAGAGGGCGCAGCTCAAACAAACTTTCCAGCTGTGCTGCCATTCTGGATTTCAAGAAGAATAGGATGTAGGAGAAAAAAAATGCAACAATCTTCAGCAATAAAAAGAAAAGAAAAGATTGTTATGGTTATCTGAAGCAGGGGTGTCCATTCCTGCTCCTGGAGGGCCGGTGTCCTGCAGAGTTTAGCTCCAGCCCTAATTAAACACCTGAACCAGCTAATCAAGGTCTTACTAGGCATACTAGAAACTTTGTGACAGATGTGTTGAGGCAAGTTGGATCTAAACTCTGCAGGACACCGGCCCTCCAGGACCGAGTTTGGACACACCTGATCTAAAGTCATTTTTGCTTATTAGTATGATTGAATCGGATCATCGAATGTCAGCAGCAAAGACACTGGTTATTAAAATAGGATTAGATACATATAGGATATTTGTATTATTTGCATCATATTCTGAGTTTGTATTTCTCTCTTTTTATTAATTTGACTACTGAATCTGTTTTTGTGCAAGTGACATGAGTAAATGCATGTAAATGTTGACTTTTTAAAACTGATCATGTGAATTCACCTCACTGACTAACAGAAAGCTGCTTAGTTTGAAAGTGACTTCTGTGTGAGCTGTGCTTTACACTTTTAGACAATGGACCATTTTTTCTGGTGAAATTGGCTGAAATTTCAACATGAAAAAAGAAATCTGTGATAAAGAAAGAGTATTCCATATCCTCTGTATTTATGTAGTTATTCCCTTTGTCTTCCAGGAGGCAACTTTTCAAGTGGTTTTGGTGTCTGGCAAAAACATGTCATTTACACTCATGCATTATGGTCATATCACTCCGACCCCATATCGTTTTATGGTAAAGTAATTTGAAAAACACACTGATTAAAATATATTATTGTTATCACTATATGATAAGTGATTGATTTTTAACTGAACTTTTTGTTGTCTTTGACAGTCCGGCTATGACACAAGTGATTCAACTGATTTCTTTTTAATTCCTGTCTCTGACATCACAAAACTGTCAAACACAAGCAATGTCAATGTCACGGGTCGATGGGTATTTCGAGTTGACCATACATCAGACCACAATGGTACAGTAACTTAATAATTAAAAATACGTGGCATTAATTGCATATCTTGTTTAATAGTTACTTATTGTTTAAAACATGTTCAGAACAATTCCTTGAACAATTAGTATTGAAATGTTGAGTTAAATTAATTAATATCATATATGCTTTCAAGACTAGGTCTGTGGATAAGAGGATCTGTAACAAAAAAATACATTTGAACTAAATACTTTCAGCAGTATACCATTTTTAAATTTAAATTAAATAAAGAATAAAAATATACAGGGCTTTGAAAAGCTTTCTTACCAGTGCAATATAGTTTGCCATAATTAAATTAAATGACAACCCAGAACCAGAGATCAGCAGTACTGGAAATAGTGTAGATTATCACCATTTACTCACACTGTAGTTCCAAACCTGTATGACTTTCTTTCTTAAGTGGATCACAAAAGAAGAGATTTTAAATGCCTCCAATACAAAATGTTGTTTCGAACACCAATGAATTTTAATCTAACCTTGTCATTTAACCTAACAAGCCCATTAGTTAGTTTCCCCTGCCGTAGACTTTTGACTATCAGCGAGTGTAACATACACATTGCAGTTCATTCATGTCATGAAACTTTATAAGGCTATTATTAATTTTTTAATTTTTAATTATTTATTTTACATTTAAAACATTTAGGAGCAGGTAAACTACGACTCCATGAAAATAAGACATCATATAAGTGTGCTTAAAAACATAGGCTATTTTAGGGATGTACCAAAATTTTGGCCACCGAAAGAGAAAAACAGCCGAAAATAGGCCTATATGGCGCACCGCACTGCCCACAGTGTTCAGCACGCAGGTTTCACGCTTCCTCTAGCCGTCGTCACTGCGCGGTGTGACGCTCTGCTTAATAATCCACTCTATGAATGTGTGATCTATTTCGACCTCACTCAGACCGTCACCATGGTCTTACCTTGAATGATGCCATTCTGCTACCCTTCCGAGATCTAATGTAAACAAAGTTCATTATAAAACATCCGGGTGAACAAAGCACTTCCTCTTTGCCTTTTCGCCTCTTCTGAGACTGATTCGGAGAATCCGCGCGTATATGCTGATATTGGACTATTACCTATGAGGGGCCGTACAAGCCATAATTCATTCTGGCACTCTCACACACTTACATTCTCCTTTCACATACATATATATGAAGAAAATATGTGTATGTAAGAGAAGAATGTATGTATGTGTGAGAGAGAGTATAGTGGAAACGGAAGGCAGGTAATGCGCGATTAGGGTCTCTGGGACATGTCCTGATCAGTATGGCTGAGGTAGATGAGGCGGCCGCAGAAGTATTTCAGGAAGCTATGTGGGTTTAAAAAATTAAAAAATAAATATTATCATTGTGAAAAGGTTACATTGCCTCGTCCCTTGAGTGAGTTGTGATTGAGGACGCGGGCTCAGCCTCAGTCGTGTTGCCAGATACATGTATTATAAGCGTCTATGAATTTTTTTTCACTTAATTTAGGAAGTGAATAAAGTGGGAGGTTGCAAGTTAGGGACAGCGATATCTTTATATTATTTCCATACCTCAAGATTTGGACTCATTGCGGTTTATTTATTTTTAGATTATTTTGTTTGTTTTCAATACCTGGCAATGCCAGCACACGGGCAGGTTATTCCTGACAGGATGCAATTTGGTAACACAAACATAATGATCATCATGAAATATTATCTGTAAGACAGATGCACTGAAGACGGACACAAAGAAGAGAGAATAGTCGCGTAAGCAGAGAAAATACTGTACCAGACAGAACAAATTCATTGTTTGCAATGCTTGAAATACTGAAAGAAAACCATAATTATGGAATTAGGGTGGGGGTTAATATGGATATATTTCTGAGGAGAACTGACTGTCTTTAGAAAAGTTTCTATGGCCTTTTCTTTTTCCTTTTACTTTCATTAAATACATATTAAAGGAGTGTCAATAAGCGCAGCACTGTGTACAGCAATAACCCAGGAAACGCTGCTAGTGTTCTATAAGCACCACCTGCTGTCAGAGATTGAATTCGCATTTTCATCAGAATCAGAAAGTTTTATTGCCAAGTTAGAGTTTTATTGCCAAGTGTGTTTACACACACAAGGAATTCGTCTTGGTGTCAGGAGCTTCCAGTACAGAAAGTAGCCTACAGTCATAGTGCAGACATACATATAATTAAAGGGGTCATATGATGCTGCTAAAACTAACATTATTTTGTGTATTTGGTGTAATGAAATGTGTTTATGCTCTTCTGTTAATGATGGAGACTCTGCACAGCCTGATATTGTCCCTCAAATTCTTAGCGCTGCAAGAATTTTGGAGTTGGAAACAAAGACTGAAACTCAAACAGCGTTGGTGGGGCAAGGGGTGTGGGCAGGGGTCTCTTAGTCCCAACCTTCTGCCACACGTGCAGCCCGGTCTGGTAATGCTCTAGCCATAATTTTGGCTGCTCTGAGAAAAAATATAAGTCAGGAGGATTGGGACGTTTTAGGTTTGGTGGATGCAGCCCTTGCTACACATGCACAGCTTAGTAGGGACATTGGTGCCTCTATGTCATCTGCAATACTTTCTCGTAGGCAGATCTGGTTAGCACAAACCCCCCTGCCTGACACTATCAGAAAAGAACTGACTTACATGCCAGTTACTCCAGGTCAGGTTTTTCACCTCTGGGTACTCTATACAGTAAAAAATGGTTACAGAATTCAGTTCCGGCGTCGACCTCCCCCATTTTTAGGAGAACACATGACTGTGGTAAAAAAAAACAAGTCCAGGCACAGATTTTATCAGAAGAAATTGCGACCCTTCTAAAGAAGAAGGCAATTTCTCAGCTAAAGCTCAACGGACAGCTCAATGAGTTTTATTCAAATTATTTCCTTGTGCCCAAAAAAGATGGTCTCCGACCCATCTTAGACCTGAGACATTTAAATGCGTACATAAAAGTACTGTGGTTCAAGATGCTGACCACTGCACAAATCTTGGAGACTATAGAACCAAATGAATGGTTCACAACAATAGATCTCAAAGACGCATATTTTCGTGTACCCATTCATCCAGACCACAAAAAGTTCCTTCGCATTGCCTTTCAAAGCCAGGCATATCAGTTTGAAGTCCTCCCCTTTGGTCTCTCTCTCTCACCCCGTGTCTTCACCAGGGTGGTGTCAGCCACCCTTTGCCCCCTTCAAATGGCGGGTATAAAGATCCTTCCACACTTGGACGACTGGCTGATCTGTGCACCAAGCCGTCATCAGGCCTTGGAGGACACAGAGAGGGTTATCAATCATATAAAGGAACTTGGTTTTTGCATGAACCACGAGAAGAGCAATGTCGAACCAGGTCAACAGACAGTATTTCTTGGATTAGTTCTGATTTCCCTGACAATGACAGCATCACTCGCTCCAAAGAGGGTAACAGCATTATCTACTCTGGCACAGTCTTTCCGATTAGGCATGCGGAGAGAGTTGGCGCAGTTTCAAAAATTATTAGGGATGATATCAGCGGCAACAAAAGTAGTGCCTCTTGGGTTGCTCAAAGCACGACCACTACAGTGGTGGACCAACAAGTTTCAACTCCACCCCAAATTACACAGGCGAGTGAGACTGAAGGTCACACGGAAATGCATTCAGGCCTTGCACCTCTGGTTGAGCAAAAAGAAATTGGGCCCAGGGGTCCCTCAGGGGAACATACCAGCAAGGAGGATGGTGGTCACAACGGATGCGTCTCTGACTGGTTGGGGGGGCTGTCTGGCAAGGCAGAACAGTGAGAGGTTCATGGGTGTTCCCCTGGAACATGGAATAAATGTGTTAGAGTTAAGGGCAGTTTACATGGCCTTGAAATTACTGATTCCTTTTCTGCAAGACAAGCATATCCTGGTAAGAACCAACAACATGTCAGCAGTTTATCATATCAATCATCAGGGAGGCACCAGGTCATTGTGTTGCCTCCAGGAGTCCAGGAGGCTTCTGTTTTGGGCCGATCCAAGACTCGCCTCAATCAGGGCAATCTACATACCAGGAGTAGTGAACCGGCCTGCCGATCTCCTCTCTCGAACAGGGCCTCCCCCAGGGGAATGGCGTCTGCATCCAGAGGTGGTAGGTCTGATATGGGACAGGTTTGGGAGAGCTCATACCGATCTGATTGCATCAGCCGAGACAACTCATTGCAAAACATGGTTTGCGATGAGCAACCAGGGTGGACCTTTGGGAGTGGATGCACTGTCTCACGAGTAGCGGGGAAGATTGTTATACGCCCCCTACCCCTACCCCCCCCTCGCTCGCCATTGATTCCTCATGTGCTCAAGCGTGTGGAAGTGGGGCATTACAGGATTGTATTGATTGCACCGAAATGGCCAATGAGACATTGGTTCCTGCTTCTTTTACGGCTAGTACGAGGCCGTCCCTGGCCATTACCAATCAGAGCAGACCTTCTCACTCAGGTGGAGGGTCAGATTTGGCACCCGAGTCCAGCCATGTTTCAACTTTGGGTTTGGCCTCTGCTCAGTCCATCTCTCATGAGCTAGAGGAGGCAGTAGCAAAAACCATTAACAATGCTAAAGCACCTTCCACTTGGGAAAACTATTCAAATTGGTGGCGTGTGTTCTCTAAGTGGTGTCGGGATAGAAACCTGGATCCCGCTGGTTGTGATCTTGAGTTTATTCTGTGCTTTCTTCAGTCACTGTTAGACTCAGGAAGAAAAGTCAACACTGTTAGAGTTTATGTTGCAGCTATTTCTCATTTCCACAGTGTTGTGGAAGGTTTGTCAATTGGTAAACATGCATTGGTGTCTCAATTTCTTCAAGGTGAACGACGCCTCCATCCAGATAGAAAGTTAAGATCACCGTCCTGGGATCTTCCTTTGGTTCTACAGTCATTGATTAAAGCCCCATTTGAACCATTGTCCCAGGCTGATCTTAGATCATTATCGTGTTGTGATTTAACAAAGGTAAATGGCAAATATTTGTCACGCCGCGGTCAGGGGCACCGTGGAAAAATAGGGTCTGGGTCCAAATGCAGGTGAAAACTTATTTTATTCCCA